TTTTTGAACAAATATAATAAAAATACTCATGTTATAGCAAATTGGCCAATCAAATCTCTTAAAATCTTCACTATAACCTTATAGCAAAATTGAGGTCTAGGATATAGAGTTCGTTATAATAAGAGTTGATTGTATAAGTTGAATAATAATAAGATATTTAATTAGGTACTAATAGTCATTATAATAGTAGTCTAATAAAATACTAGTTAGAAATTATTAATTTTTATATATAGATTACTAAAAAGTAAATAATAAAATTATATTAAAAATAATTAATTAAAAAAAAATTGCAATTAAAATCAAAAGATTATTAAATTAAGCTTAATTATAAGTTCTGATTGAATTTAAACTTTAATATTTATAAAATAATTTATTAATTATAGGTATTTGATATATACTTAAATTATAATATAAGTGTCAATTTAATAAATATTTCAAAATAATTTAAATTTTAATATTTATTTAGCATATTAAATAATCTTTCTACATATGTTTTTTATATAGTTATCTATAAAATTACTTATTTAAATTTATTTTAAATTTAAACAAAATGTTTAAACTATAGTTTCATTAATTTTTTACTAAGATTTTTAGTATATTTATTAAGTAAATTCATATTAATGAAATTACTTTGAATAAAAGATAATGATTCTTATTCTTATATAATTTTTTTTATATTAATTTAAAAAAGCTATTTTATTTATTTAAAATTTTTTTATTTTATATAATTTTTAATATTTATTAAATTATAATAAATTTTTTGATATTTTTTTTATTCTACTATATATTTTAAAACAGAATTTTTTGATAATAATAAAAATTATTTTTCATATTTCTTATATATCATTATTTATATAAAATAATTTTACTTAGTAACTTTTAATAATACTAGAATAAGTTATTTTATAATATTATATTATACTTTTTCTATTTAAGAATGATAACTTACAAATTATTTTAAAAATATTTAATAATTTTTTAATAGATTTAATTATTGCATAATATTTTAGAATTTAAAAATTCTAAGTTTTCAATAGAGATCATAAAATTATAAAATATTTATAAAACAAAATTTTAATTATTAAAATTTAATTTATATTCTATATTTATTTTATAATTTAAATTAGTAACTTTTAATAAATATGAAAACATATAAAAAGGATTTATAAATACTTATATTAATAAATATTCTAATATTTATAAAATGAATAAAGTTATTATATTTTACAATTTATGTAATTTCTTTATTGAATAGAAATCAAAATCTATTATTAATTAACATTAGCTTTTAAAAAAATATATTAAAAAAAACAAAACTATGAAATTAATAAATAAAAAAAAGTAAGCTATAATTTAAATTTAAAAGAAAATTTTAATTAAACTTTTTTTTTACAAATATTTTTTAGAAAAAGTTAATATTTTCTTTTTTTTTTAAAATATTTTAAAAATACTTTTTTATTTTTTTGCTAATATATAATTCTTATATTAGTTGATTTTTTAAAATATATTAATAACTAATAATAGAAGAAATATTATTAATTACTTAAATTAATTTTAATATTTCTTATTCTTACTAAAATTATTTCTATTAGATTCTGTATTATATATGAAAAAATATTATAAATTAATAATATTACAATTAATTTATATGTTATATTTAACTATATATTATAAATTTCATTAAATAAATATGAATTAAGATGCTTATTTAAACCTATTTTAAATTTAATATAATGTTTAAACTTTAATTTTATTATTTTTATTAAAGTTTTAATATGATTTTATTATTTTTATAAACTTTGATATATTTTTTATCTTTTTAAAGTTTTGTAAATTTTATCTTTTATTATATAATTCACAAATCTTTAAGTTTTATTTAACAATTTTAAACAATATGAAAAGATATTATATAAATACATAAAATTAAAAATCTTTGCAAAATACTATTATTATTAAAATTTATAATTTAATATGATGTTAGATTATATTGATTATTGGTTTTCTTTTTATTAAGAAAAATATGTAAGAGTTATAACATTTATTAATTTTGCAATTAATAAATTTTATAAGATAAATAAAAAAGAAATAATTATAATTTTATTGCATATTATGCATAAGAATTGTTTGGGATTCCAATAATAAAACAATCCAGTTTTTTCATTGATTAAAGGTATTATATAAAAGAAAATCTTGTAATATAAGATTTTGGATCTGATTTATTCTTCTATTACATAATTTAACTTTAATCCAGAGAAAATTTATAATATTTTTGATTAGCATTTATTGTTACATATAATAAATTTTCAATGCATATTTTACAGCATATGCATAATCTTTATTTTATGCTTCTTTGTTTTTGATCCATTGTATATTAAAATGGGAATTATATTTGTCAATATTCAGCAATTACAGAACTTTGTAATTCATCTAATGGACGATTAAGAGTTATTGTGGATCAATAAATGATCTTGATGTATTTTGGATGGGAATGCAATCAAATTTACCAATTTATCAAAAATTAATTTCTAGTTGTAGTATAGAGCATAGTTTTTCTTTATACAACAACCTTTTAAATAGTGATTAAATAGTGGTCGTCAAAATCTATCTTATGAGACATTAATATGTTGCATTTTAAAGCGAAATATATTATATTAAAATTATTTATAAATTTAGTTTTTATCCGAGAACTAGAAAATTTATCGGTGTGAAAATCCCATTTGTCAAATTATTTGTCACGTGTATTTGTGACACCTTAACTTCTGTATATTTAAGATTAAGAATCGATTTTTTTGAAGGAATTCGGACTTCAATTGAGGGCATGTCTGTTAAATAACCGTCTTTCACAAGATTTTCTTCCCAAATTTTCAAAAGTCCCGTGATTTTTTATGGTTAATTTTATAATTTCGGGAATTAAAATCAAAAATTTCAAGAAACCCATGTTATATCATTAGGTATACGAGAAACCTGAAGAATTTATATTGCATTATCCCACGAAAAAGTCTCGAGATTAGTATCAAATATTAAGATGAAATAACTACGTTAGTTCACCAGCCATATTAACGTCCCTTGCTTATAGACAATTGGATTCTTCCGAAGAGGACAATGGGCTGGACTCGGATGCATTTCAACCCGGAAAAAAAATATTACCTCGTGAAATTGGAACTAGGTTTCTTTTTGCTTAAAAAAAAAAATTTAATTGTCATAGTTCGTAATTATTTATTTGGAAAGCCTTCCAATATCACGAGAGAATTTGGTTATGAATCATACAATACAAGGAAATAATTTTTTTTTGTTTTTTTCAAAAAAAAAAAAAAAAAAAATTATTATTAGTTTCTAGGCAAAGCTAAAGCACTCTTAAAATTAATCCTTATTTATTTCATTTTTTTCATTTATTTATAATTCATACCATAAATAGTAATGATTAAAAACTAATCAACAATATAACCTTTTTTTTAATGCATTGGATCTTATCTAAAAATTTCTCAAAATGAATAATTGACATCTCGATCTTTCACAATTGGTTAATCATAATAAATAACTGCTAAAACTAAGAAAAAAAGAAATAATTTTTTTTTTAAATTTGGCGCAATTATTTTGCCGCCAAACTTCACAGGTAAACTTAAATTTCTTTATAACTTGATGTGAATGAGGCGTAAACATACCTAGGAAATTCTATTGATTGTTTAAATTTCATGTGCCTTTTTGTACACGATTTGATCATAAGGTCGTATCAAATTGGAAAAGGAAAGTTGTGATACGCATTAAATTATTGCCATTTACGTGCATTATCAATAAGTTAGTTTTTGTAATTATTCGAAAAGTAAAAAAATTTCCCCTTTTTTCTTTGAATTTCCCGAAATTAAAATCCTCACCCCTAAATAAAAACTTTAGATTAAATTTAATCTTCATAGATATAGGCATTGCGCAACGTGGTATCCTTCAGCGATCCAGTTATAGCTTGTTTTGGACGTAAAGGGTTTCTTTTTTGTTAATAATTTTCTCGAACAAAGCAAAGGTGGTGCGACATTTAGCATTGCTCATCAACCGCAGCAAATGCATTTTTTTTGTTAACACAAGTATAAAAGAAATTTGATTTACAGAAAAAAAAGAATTATAATTTGTTTCGTCCTCTTTTTCGTTTTCAATCTTTTCCTACATCGAAAAAAATTTTATTGAAACGAAACAGTCAAATTTGTTCAAGGTGGGCAAACGTTTTCTCTCAAGGTTTTGTTTTCATCATTTTTTATAACGTTTTGTGCAAATGATGTTACTATTTAAGTAAAAATTGAATAAAATTCCCTAAAAATACCGCTTACAGGTTGCCCGAATTTTATTGAAAGCCTTATATGGGTTAAAACTTTACTTATAAATATAAAATTTCACCCAAGATCATACAATCTTAAAAAAAGATTTTTAAATTCCTTTGCCCTGTCTCTTTCCCCTAAAATTTATTCAGGTAAATTTAAATTTATGATTTATTTATCTATAAAAAATAAAAAAATAAAATAAAATCTTCCTCACATTTTTATAAACTAGTACATACATTTTATTCATTAAAATCCGACCACGACTGATAAAAAGAAACATCACAATCGCAAATAAATTTTTTTTTGAATATAATATGGGTAATTCAAATTCACGAAGACAATCATCTTTTATTGCTGGGAGGAAAAAATGCAAATATCCTTACCTACATTGGAAACGCTTACGTGACAATGAGGCTTGGTGTCGATGTGATAATCAACGATTGGTAAAAGGTTGGAGTAGCGGCAATAAAGGAATTGACCAATTCATCAAAGAAACGCAACTTAAGGCCAAAAGCCGAATGGATCCGTTTTTAGAATGGATCCCATATAACCGTCTTATTAATATTAGTGAAATCGGTGAAGGTGGTTTTAGCATTGTTTATTCGGCTGAATGGTATGACCTTGAAAAAAGACTTTCTTGGGCTGCTCCTTCAAAAGCTAGACCTGTCGCATTAAAAAGCATCAAGAATTCTCAAGATATTACATCAGAATACATTAACGAGGTAATTATATTAGATATAAATTTATTTTTTTATTTTTTTATTTTTTTTTTTCCCAATAAAAAAAAATTTTTTTTTTCCCAAACAGCTCCGAACTCATTATCGATGTATTTCGGCCACACCATCTTATTCTGGAGAGATGAGGTTCGACCATGGATTTCTCCGATTCTTCGGAATTACTCAAGACCCCAGTACTAATGATTATATGATGGTCACGGAATTGGCATCATACGGAGATCTGCGTAATTTCCTTCAAAATCATTTTGCAGACCTTGATTGGTCCAGTAAATTGTATTGGCTTCGTAACATTACCGGAAATCTCTCAACCATTCATAAGGCCGGATTTACTCATCGAGACCTTCACCCAGGAAACATACTTGTTGGTCAGATTAAAAAAGATGGTGAAACTATGACTGTTGCTAAACTTGCTCATTTAGGTTTATCTCGTCCTGCAAATAAAAAAGGGGCATTAGATGGGTTATATGGAGTTTTACCATATTTTGCTCCAGAAGTATTACAAGGAAAAAAATATTCTAAAGATGCCGACATATATTGCATTGGAATTATTATGGCTGAACTTTCAACCGGAATTCCTCCATTTGTTGATCTTGCGCATGATACGAATCTTGCAATCGAAATCTGTAAAGGTTTAAGACCTTCATTCGCTCAAGGAACTCCTGATAATTACATTAGATTAGCGTGTCAATGTTTCAATGTGAATCCTTCCGAACGTCCAAATGCCGAATTTTTGGCGCATACATTTCACAATTGGTGGATGATGACTCAAAAAAATGATGTTTTATCTGATGCCTTCCTTGCGGCTGATAAAGAGATACCTGAATTGAATACTAATTTTTACGTAAACCCTGACGCAATTTATGTAAGTCGTCTTATCACTTTTGAAAACAATGATCCCGATTCCCCAAACAAGACTGTGAACTATTTGACTTCCAACATGATTAATCAAAATTAGTTGGTCGAACGAAAATAATCTTAAGATTCATTCATTTTTTTTTCAGTTTTTAATTTCAACTTTTCATTGAATGCATTACATTTTCTTTTTTTTTTTTTTTTGTTGTAAATAAGATTTAAGCGACTTCAACCGTCCATCAAAAAAAACAAAAAAATTTCGATTTATTTAATTTATTTATTTTGCTTTTCCATCTTGCACGAAAAAAAAAAAAAAAAAAAAAAATTTAATAATAATAATATAATTTGATCCATTTTTTTTTTTTTTTTTCCTTCTATTAAGAAAATTTTTTTGTTAAATATAATTTGTACTTTTGCAGACGTGTATTTTAGATGTAAAATAATGATAATAAAAAAAAATAAATAAAAATAAATAAGTTAATATTCAAAAAAACTTGATCGATCGATACGGAAATTGTGCGCGAAACCCGTTGAAATGCTTTGTAGACCTTAAATTAATTCGTTAAGAATTGAACTTTATTGTAAATTATAGATTTATCACTTATAGAAAATTTTACTGGATTTTTATAATATATGTTTAGTAAATTTGGGTTATTGCAAACACAGTTCAAGGCAAATATCATTGTTGCTTATTATGGATTCGTCATCATAAATCTTCTTTAGACGGTTTTTTATATCTCGTCAAATAATAAATAACGCTTTGTATAAAATTCAAATCATCTTCGTTAGTTAGTTAATAAGTGATCACTTTCACTTGAACCGTTTATTATAATATATCATACAAATAAATTAAGAAAACGCAATTAACTGTACAAACTCTACTAATGATAGCATTTAAAATTATAAAGACTTTTATAGAGAAGGTCTTCAAATTCATTATTAATATCTGAAAATTAAAAATAAAGTAAAAGGTTTTTTTGACTCTTATCTATTACAGTTTATCTTTTTCTTACATTAACGTTTAAAAAGAAATTAGCCCAAAGAATTCCTTAACTCACATTGCTAGATTTATTTGTCTTTTCACAAATTTTTATATCAAAGTCTACTCAGATTTAATTTTTGTTGGTGGAGCTAAATTTTATATTAGTAGTAAAAAAAAAATCCCATTAATACATATGTTACTAATATTGCTAAATATTTTAAATAATTCAAAAAGAATTTACTTATAACTTACCAACAAATACTCTGCTCACAAATTTCATAAATTCATCGATTATGATTACGGGAAAAGATATCCATAATACAGCTTGCCATTCTAACCAATTGAGAGGAAGGATGGCAAATAGGTTCTAAAAATATATATATATATATATCAAATGAAATTCAATTAACACATCGATCAAAGTATTTTTAAATTCTTCAAACATAGGATAGTAACTTACCGAAAAGAATGGAACATAGAGTATCATGAAATGTAACATCATTGAAAGTATAATAGATAACACAAGGTATATATTAGACCATACGGGCAAAGTGAACAAACTCTCGTTTTCACTAAGAGAATTTGTGGCATTGAACATTTCTATGGTAACCAATACCGAAAGTGACATTGTGGTGGCACGTTTTGCCATTTCGTTGATAAACATTTCACAACCAATTTCGGGGAATAATTCGTTGCATTGATGAAAGTGTGACTAAAAAAAAAAGGACACAATATCAGTATAGATTTATAAATAAATATTTATCAAATTACATGATTATATGAATTCTTACCAATTGATAGAAAGAAATTTGCGGTCCTTGATCATAAAATAAGAACCACCAAGCATATGCAAATACGGTTGCAGCACCAACATAGATGCCTATAATCATATATCGGAAAAATAACCATTTGCCAACAATTGGTTCACGACCACTTCGTGGGGGTTGGCGCATGATATCATGGTCAGGAGGATTGAACCCAAGAGCAGTTGCTGGGAGACCATCGGTTACAAGATTCACCCAAAGTAATTGAACAGGAATAAGCGCTTCTGGCATACCGAGTAATACCGTAAGAAAAATACTACAAGATGAAATCGGGATTACATTGTTAGGCAAATCTTGGCATAAATTCCTCATATGAAACGTCATATGGAAATACATCGTACCTAACTACTTCACCAATATTTGAACTAATTAGATAACGAATGAACTGTTTTGTATTATTATATATCGATCGACCCTCTTCAACGGCCCCCTCAATACTCGCGAAATTATCGTCAGCAAGAACCATATCAGCAGCCAATTTGGCGACATCGGTACCAGACCCCATTGCTATACCAATATCGGCTTTTTTGAGAGCTGGAGCATCATTCACGCCATCTCCAGTCTTTGAAAGGAAAAAAAAAAAAGTATGGATAAAGTTAAAACAATAAATAAAAATAAATATATAGCATTATTATAAAAGATATTAATCCATACCATTGCAACAACTTCACCTTGGCTCTTTAGTAACTCCACAAGTTCACTTTTGTGGGTTGGTTCTGTTCTGGAGAACAAATTTGCGCGTTTGACAATCTCAAGTTTCTCACTTTGCGATAAATCATCGAATTCTCTACCAGTTATGGATTTTCCCGTTACGTCTTCATGTTCCCCAAAGATTCCAATTTTCCTGCAAATAGCCTCTGCAGTGCTTTGATTATCACCTGTGATGACAATAACACGAATTCCGGCCGTTTTGCACTTACGGATACTATTCTTAACTTCTGGACGAGGTGGATCAAGCATGCCAACGACACCAAGGAAAGTCATATCCTTCTCGATATTACTGAAATTTTTAGGTTCGGTGAGATCCCAACCATTCATTTGTGAGTCGCAACCTTCTACCTTGGCCATAGCAAGGATACGTAAACCCTTTCTACCATATTCCAACAATTTTCCCTCTATCTTTTCACGGATTGCCGGTGTGAGACTTATGGTAGTTGAATTAGATAATCTAACGGAAACACATCGATCAAGTATTGACTCTGGCGCTCCCTTGACGAGCAAGGTAGCGGTTGATGGTTTGTTAATTGGTTGAACAAGCACAGACATGGACTTTCTATCACGTGAGAACTCTAAGGTGGCCAACCGATGGTTTTGACTCTCATAAAAATCATTACAAGCCGTAGCACGAGCTTTCAATGAATAAGCATCTAGAGAAGTATTCATCGATTCGTCGTTTGTACCAAGTTTTTCCACTAGAACTTTTAGGGCTGCTTCAGTTGGTTCACCGACGTTATGATATGTCGAAGATTTTTCGTCATATGCGATACGAGAATCATTACATAAAGCACACACTTGAACCAGCTCATTGACACACGTACTCGTTATAGGGAGGGAATCGATAATTTTACCGTCGGCAGTATATATGTTACCATGTGGGGCGTAACTAGAATCGTCCACATGATATTCTTGAAGATTTGTCCCTTCAGATAACACAAGTACCCTAGAAACGCTCATGCCGTTCGTTGTGAGAGTGCCAGTTTTATCTGAACAAATGACGCTCGTACAACCTAATGTCTCAACGGATGGTAGAGAACGTACAATAGCATTTTTATTGGCCATCTTTTTCGTACCTAGAGCCAAGCATGTTGTGATCACCACAGCCAACCCTTCAGGTATAGCGGCAACAGCGAGTGCCACAGCGATTTTAAAGTAATAGATAGCACCCTTGAGCCAACCGTGATGTGAAGGATCATTGAAGTGACGAATGTTTATGAGCCACACGAGAACACAAATAACTGAGATAACCTACAAGGGTTATAAATGTAAGCAAATGATAAATAATCTAATATAAATGATAAATATACCCTAATATATATTATATCTACCTTCGCCAATAGATCGCCAAACTCATCCAATTTACGTTTAAGAGGCGTTTTGTCGGATATTTGAGATGTAATACTTTTATGAATGTCTCCTATTGCGGTACTACTACCGGTTTTTACCACTATAGCGCGACCTTTCCCTAACACGACAGTAGTTCCCTATATATTATTGAAATATTTTAAGATAAATATACTCAGACGTCGAGCAATAAAATCAATCTTACATCAAGAAAGTTTTTGATTTAAAAAACTTACCGAAAATAAAATATTTATCTGATCTTGCTTTACTGCTCGTGTATCTTTAATAGCTTCTATATCTTTGTTAACACTAACGCTCTCACCGGTAAGGATCGCTTGATCTACTCGAAAAGTCGATGAATATATTTTTATTAATCGGGAATCAGCAGGAACTTTATCACCTACAGCGATATCAATTATATCACCGGGAACAAGTTCGGAAGCGTGAATTTTGGAATGATGGCCATCACGTAAAACCTTTGCCTCATCTGGTGAATACTCTTTTAACGCCTAAAGGTTTCAATAATAATAAAAAAAATTCTACTGGTAAGACACAATTCAATTCACAAGACATTCATTTGAGGTTGCACTTAAGATGATTGATTATACCTCAATGGCCTTTTCAGCGTTACTTTCTTGAATAACCCCTACAAAAGCATTTGCAATAAGGATCAAAAGGATCACTATTGGTTCTACAAATGCGGTCCCTTGTTCATCCGATTCTTCAAGCAATGCGAGAACAAAAGAAACTCCCGCAGAAATCAAGAGAATTTGAACAAGCTGATCCTCAAATTGTTCTAGAATTAATTTTAACAAAGGTGTTGATTCTTCCTGAGGTAACTCTAATAGATCAAATGACGCATAAAAAATGCATAGACATGATTAGAATTCTTAAAAAATAGAAAAGTATCATAGTAGCTTCAGCATGTCAAAAAATAAACAGCCCGGCGGATGTAACTTTTGTAGTTTCCAAATTGTAGGTGCAATGAGGATTAAACATAAACTAGAATACGTACCATTTTTACCATACTTTTTTTCTGATTCTTCGACTTGCTTTTGTGTCAACCCTTTATCGCTGTCAACTTGAAAGAAATCCAAGATTTCTTTCGGGCTTTTTGTAAAAGCGTCATCCATTCTTTACTCGAAGCAAAAGATTGATAAATAAGAATAAAAATAGCCCGTTAAAATCGTAAATTAAGTGAAAAACGCTTATTGATCTAATTTAAAGAGATAATTCTTTTAAAATTCGAACGATCTCGATTTATATCTTTTTTTCGAAAACGTGTCTTTAATTAATTGGATATATGCACTATACGTTTAATATTTTATACCAAATTTAGAAATGATAATTGAATTCGATAAGCCATATTTTTTAGACGTAAACCTTATGATATAATTGTCTTAACCTTTTTTAGTTAGCTTCGTTCACGTGATAGATCAGATATTGAATTTATAAGCAAAAACTTATCTTGAAAATAAAAATAAAAAAAGCACCAAAAAAGAATTTTTTTTTTTCTTTTATAATTAATAATTTCGTTCCAACACTTTTATGTTCTACGAGGAATCGCGCTCATTAAAAAAAAAAAAAAAAAAAAGATCAACACGCATTTTTAGGTCCCAGGACCAACACATGATAAAGGTTCACATGATTAATTTAAATCGAGATCTAATGAAAATGACTCATCAATTTATTTTAGTAATGTAATTTAACTTCGCATCTGAAAATCTTATATATTTAGTATAAAAAATTGCTTATTCATGAAAATAAAATAAATACCCGAAAAAAAATTTTTTGATAAAAGAAAAAAAAAAAAAATGTCATTTCTTGCCCCAGCAAATTTGGTTCCCGGAGAAACACAAACAACAAAAGTTGCACAAAATGGACTTGCTTCTCATGCAACGTTTACCGTTAAAGCTGGACTGGCTCAAAATTTAAAGGTTTGTTCTACTTTTGTAAAATTCTCCGATTTCGATTTTGCAACTGCATCTTTGACGAATCAAAAATACAGGGAGGAGTTATAATGGACGTAATTGACGCAAAACAAGCTCGAATCGCTGAGGAAGCCGGTGCTTGTGCTGTCATGGCATTAGAACGTGTACCCGCTGATATCAGAAAACAAGGTATCTTGACTTATTTCAAACTGGGAATTATAAAGGTAAAAAGAACTATTAATACACAAATCAATCATCCTTTTAGGTGGTGTTGCTCGAATGTCAGATCCAAAGATGATTAAAGAAATTAAAGAAGCTGTCACGATTCCAGTGATGGCTAAAGTAAGAATTGGTCATTTTGTTGAAGCTCAGGTAAGTATTTATTATTTTTATTGTATTTATCAACCTGATTTTATCAAATTCTAATTTAAATTTTTTTTTTGATTTGTAGATTTTGGAGTCCATTGGTATAGACTATATTGATGAATCTGAAGTGCTAACACCAGCTGATGATGAAAATCACATAAATAAACATAATTATAAAGTTCCTTTTGTGTGTGGCGCAAAGAATTTAGGCGAGGCACTTCGACGTATTTCTGAGGGAGCTGCAATGGTACGAACTAAAGGTGAAGCCGGCACGGGAAATGTGGTGGAAGCCGTACGTCACATGAGGACCATTAACCGTGAGATTCGAAGAGCCTCTTCAATGAGCGAAGATGAACTGTTTTCTTATGCCAAAGAATTACAAGCGCCATATAATTTGTTGAAAGAAACTGCTAAACTTAAAAGACTTCCTGTTGTAAATTTTTCCGCGGGTGGTGTGGCAACGTGAGTAAAAACATCTTACAAAACAATACGAGTATTAAAATATCTGACAAAGTCAATTTGTTGAAATTATCAGACCAGCAGATGCCGCCCTGATGATGCAGCTTGGATGCGATGGAGTTTTTGTTGGTTCTGGTATATTTAAATCCGGTGATCCCGCCAAAAGAGCTAAAGCTATTGTTCAGGCTGTTACCCACTACAATGATCCTAAAATTTTGGCAGAAGTATCAGAAGATCTCGGTGAAGCAATGGTAAAGTTTTATGTTAATAATATTTCACGTTATTGAAAGATCATTCAAATTAATATTTTGTATTACGTAGGTTGGTATTAATATTGATACATTATCCAATGATCAGCTTTTATCCAAGAGAGGATGGTAAATAGAATTGGACCTTGATTAATTTACTTCAATATGAAAATCTACCTAATTGTAGAATAAAAAAAAAAAAAAAAACCACTACTTAATCATCAACCATATCACACACATAATATGTACGTACGCTAATTATTTAATATTGCTGCTGTAGATAATATATATATTATTTATAATCACTTTTAAGTAGTTGAAATAATTTAGATTTTCTTAATTATAAACCAAGTTTGTCAGCTTTTATTTAATAAAAGAACAATATCGATTAATTCATATAAAAAAAAAAAACCTAATTATTTGTTGGCTTTTGCTTTACTGTATAAAAATGGTATAAAAGATATAAAGCCATCTTCCCATATCTATAAACAGGTGGAAACGAATTAATAAAATGATGGGTTTTAGATGGAAATGCTTATGGTACATACCGAACATAACAAAGACCCTCTATTAAATTGCTTTGCAAAACTTAATGACACAGGTCTAGGGTCTGCGTTTACAAGGAATGCACCTTGATCGTCAGGATCATTCCATGCAGGTCCTCGCATCAATCTTGGAAAATTCAAAAGATTTGTCTTCTTTGATACTTGAGATGGTAGCTTAGCATCAAGGACGACTAACAATCGTGTATCTACGAAACACGCCACGAGACGTTCGCCGTTTGGATCAATCGCCAATTGTTCAATTCCTTTGTCAGCGCTGATAATATATCGAAAAAGAGACCTTGAATAATTTTTTATTATTAAAGAATGATAAACTTAAAAAAAACTTGAGAATTACACTTCGGGAATTGGAGACAAATCGATTTTAGGTAACCATTCGTAGTCGAAATTTGGAGATATAGAAAGTACATGAATACGGTCATCTTGGCGAAATCCCAAGAATAAAGCGCGTCCATCCGCTGTCCAACATCCTGTCTAAAAGAAATCATTAGAATAAAATAAATTTCGTATGAATCCACCTAAACTATTTACCTCAACAGGATATCCATTCGTACTTATCGTTTTAGATGTCCATCTTTGAGTTTCCCACACGTCAATTTTACCATCTCTAAATAACATCATTTGGTTACAATCAATTGTGTATATGTGTGTGTATACATCAGAATGTTGAAATATCTTACAATGAAGATGAAAATAAAAATTCTCCAACAGGACTCATGCTTAGAAACGAAACCTTTCGATTTCTTGTTAAAGGCGTCCCCGTTTCAGATGCCGTATCCCAAAGGATTATTGATCCATCTGCCGAACCTGTTGCCAATGAGGTTATGCCGCTAGTCAAGAATTTAAATTGACAACTCAACTTCAAAAGAGATAAAAATGATTGTTCAAGTATAATGAAGGATATTATCCACGCGGATGCCAGGCTAGTGAGACAATATTTTCATGACCAGGATAATGGAGATAACGCATCCACGCGGGAAGCCGCGTTGGCTTTGGTTCCTTTGTTTGTTTAAGTGAAAGTTCCCATAAACAAATCCCTCGCCTTGCATGTTTATAATGAATTATGTGAATGAGAATGCTAATTCGGTCTAATTGAATTTTTATCATCTTTAGTCATCAATCTTACCGACATCCAACCGCCAAGATATTTCCGCCCAATGGTTTCCAAGCCATGCATGTAATCTCTTTTTGCAAACTATTCTCCAAGACTTCAGGAAACCATTCTAGAATATAAATGTTAATCTGAATGTTTTGTTTTAATTTTACTCCAAGTACATTATTAAGAATCCACACCTTCGACGCGTAAATCATATAAAAAAATGACATCCACTCTGTGAACTACCGCAAATATTGAAAAATATGGATGCCAATCAATAATCCTCGCAGAAGACCAATCTATCTTCCTACGAAGATAACGCATGTATTCTTCAGTATCAGCATTAAAAAGATAGTTATCCAAAAAAGTCGGAAGTACACTTCTAATATTTTGAGCCACATCTTGTATAAATGTTTGAGTTTGATCGATCTGTTCACTTTTTTTTTTTTTTTTAAAAAAAAAAATCAAATTAACTTTGTAAATTTAAAATTTATAAACATTAGAAAAGATTTTTTTTAAAAAAAAAGCTTACCCAATCGAATTCTTACTTGAATCCATAAATCGTCTGTAAGCTGTAGGTGCTGTGGGTAAGTCAGTTACGACTCTTCGAGTACCAAGGTGAACTAAATCTGGATGCGAAAGATGGTAAGGAATTTGCAGGCTTGGGAAAACTATACCCTAGATATGAATTATATTTATGAATGTTAAAAAGTACATTTTATACGTATAAATCATTAACTGGTCGACATACCTCAGAGTTTACATAAAGAATGAGTTTTTGATCTTCGGAAGATCCTAGATTTACTAAAAAAAAAAAAAAAGGTAAAAAGGTTTTTGTCTTTTTTTTTAAAAAAATAAAAAAACTTCAAGTCACATGTATAACTTACAAACTTTTCCATCGATCTCTGCTATAGTGATCTCATTTTGAGTAGGAACTTGAAAAAATTTTGAAAAGTTAAGCTTGACACGATAATAAAGTTTAGAAGCATGTTTTTGGACGAAATAATTGTAAAGCAAATTTTTCGAAACAAAATATGAATTAGAAAAGAAGTACCTAAAATTTGAGAAAAATTTAACGACATGTCGGAAGTAGAAAAGTAAGGTTGTAATATTTTCGTGTCTATAGTAGCACAGAAATTTTATCAACATACATCAGGAGTTTAATTGGTTGGATCATACCACGTGATTGACAAATTATTATAAAAAATTTTTTTGACATTGAATTCTTGATCTTCCTCTTTCGCTTCTATACCTACAAAAAGTTCCTTTGAAAACGATGAAATTCTCAAAAGGTAAGAAAGTTATCAACGATTTTTCTTTTCAAACGATTCATAACGAATATAACGAATGATGTTTAGTTGATGGATTAATTGATGATATATTTGAAATTTTTATGTGGTGTAAAGAATTGCTTAATTTGTGAATAAAATTAAAATCTTTGCAAATTTTAGATGTTAGTTCTTCTCGACGTAAAAGTCGAAAAGCACATTTTTCTGCTCCTTCCTCAGTCCGCAGAAAAATCATGAGCTCCTCATTGAACAAGGAACTTAGGGAGAAGTACAATGTAAAATTATTATTATTGTTGTTGTAATTATTATTTTTAATCATATTGATCCAACAAAATGTAATTATAGACTCGATCTATTCCTATTCGAAAAGATGATGAAGTTCGTATCGTACGTGGTCATTTCAAAGGTCGTGAAGGAAAAGTAATTCAAGTTTATCGTAAGAGATGGGTTATTCATATTGAACGCATCAACAAAGAAAAAATAAACGGTACTACTGTTCCGATTGGCATCCACCCATCAAATGTTGTGATAGTTAAGCCAAAGATTGATAAGGACAGGAGAGAATTGCTGGAACGAAAAAATCGAGCTGCTGACAAAAAAGGTAAAGGTAAAGCAGAAACTGCTATGATAGATGTATGTAAAAAATTTTTTTATCATAATCTCGTTTATAAATTAGATAAAGAACTTTTTAATAATTTATTTCTTTCGTTTTATGTTTAGTAGACTAATTAATTGTGATGGGCTACGTTCATAATTTGGAAAAAAGGAACCAGTATTTTAAAATACCAAATTTTAGTCAAAATATAGTCAGATTGGTTTGTTTCTTTAAAATAAAAATATGGCTTTTTAATTATTTACTTAAATTTTTTTTTTAAAAAAAAAAATTCTTAATGGCCGGAACGATGTTTTATATTTTCTTTCGAAAAAAAAAAAATAAAAATAATTTTTATTATTATTGTTCTTCTTTGATGAAAGTCTTAAATAAAAGAATAGGAGACGAGTTTTATCATTCATAATTGAGAGAATGTTTATGCAGAATCAAATAAATATTCAAAGGATATTATAAATTGAAATTATAGTTTTTGATATTATTAGATTTAAAATAATGCATAAGATCTTAAGTTTAGTCTTAAAAACCCGAATTTCCTAGCAATCGTCCCAAATATTTCGATTGGAATAAGCATCTTGGTAAATCAACGTGAGATAAAATGATTTAATGCAATTTAAATGATATTTTTCGCGAAAGTTAATATTACGAAAGTTTTGTATAATATTATTAATGAAATTTTTTTTATTTTTATTATTATAATGTAATATTACTTTTTTAAAATTTAACTCCAAAAAAAGAAGAATCCGATGAATTATAAGAATAAAAAAAGAAAAAAAAAAGGTTCCAAATTGAAAAAGAAATCATTACTTAAAAATTTTCTTACTACTAAGTTATTAAGTGTGTATACTTTATATATACATTATTAATTTGATTAAATTTTCAATTTAATGTAACAAAGGAAAAGTTTTTTGGACGATTATGTTTGAATCACAGGCAAGTAAGTAGGTTTTCCAAGGTAATTTTGTCTACAGAGCTTAAAGGCATAATTAATCAAAGGGAGGGAGGTCGATTAATTTGTAGATAAAACACTTTCAACTTGTGATAGATCCCCCGAAGTAACAGCATAATGATAATCTCGTAATAGATTATCAACATCCTCCATACTTTGTGGACGAATGTCTGCCAATTCCTTAATTTTAGCAGTAATCTTTTTAACTTGATCATCAGTAAGAGTGAGGCCTAATTGTTCAACACGATTCTTAACAGCATTCCAACCCGTTAGCCGATGGCCAATGGATACATACCTCGTCATACTTTAAAATAAAATAATGAAATGATTAACAATTTAAATCACGTAAATATAAATATAATACATTTGACTTACCCGAAATCTTCTGGTTTCAAGATTTCATATGTACTTGGATTATTTAAAATGGCTTTAGCATGAATACCAGCCTTGTGTGTGAATGCGCAATAACCGGTAATATAATTATTAAATGGAACTTGGACACTGACTGCGTCAGCGACCAAATTTTCAAGATCGCGAAGCATGTGAAGCTTATATTTGGTTTTGATATAATCCTTATTAGCAGTGTACATTCGAGCACATAATCCACCAAGAGAAGTAATACCGTTACGCTCACCGATACCGAGAACCGAAGTATCGATATGAGTCGCACCAGCTTCGAGAGCTAATTATTCAAAAACGATTTTTTTTTTTTTTGTAAGATTTTAAGTCATGACGTCATTACAAAAAAAAGGTTTTCTTCTTTAATCTTACCAGCATAAGCATTTGCAATAGCACATCCGGTATCATTGTGAAAATGACATTCAATGTCACAAGACACAACTCCACGAAGAGTTCTGACCAATTCGTAAACTTGTCTTGGATTTGCGCAACCAACTGTGTCAGCAATACCAACGCGATTTACTCCCAATTTATCCACTGTGCGATAAATACTTAATAGGTCAACTAAATCACTACGGAACGAATCTTCGGATGAAAATCGAACTTCAATTCCCTTAGATTTAACAAAATTTATAACTTCGGTAGCTTGTTTGGTGATATAATCCATATCTTTTCCGTGAGAAAACTCGCGAAGATATGATGATGTACCAATAACAACATCAACACCATCAACACCTGTTCATTATAAAATGTTTGATATCAGTTAAACTTGGATCATTAATTCAAAATCAAAATTTATCAATATGAAACGGTATCGTACCAGTTTCAACCGCAATTCGAGCATCATCCATATGACATCTTATATGGGTTAAAATCTTGGCTTTCAATCCTAGGTTGCAAATTGCCGAACAATCCTGTCTTGATTGGTCTGATGCAGCTGGCGATGTTAATTCAATATATTCAACTCCAAAATCATCTAATGCTTTGGCGATTTCAATCTTTTTAGCAGTATCGAAAAAAGCATTGGCAAATTGTTCACCCTCTAATGATATAAATAAAAAAATAAAAAAATTCGAATGAGTTTCTTCGAAAGATGATAGTTGTTAAAATCAACCAAGATTTGTTGTGTAATTATTTTTTTTTATAAAAAAAAAAGAACCTCGAAGAGTTGATTCGATGATTGAGAAGTTACTGACTCGACTCAGTAAATCTTCATATCGTGGCATATATGGGTTATTCGTTTTCTTGACACCATTTTCTTTAATTCCGTTTGTCGTCATTATTATTTACAAGAATAGCAAAATTGTTTTCTTTGGATGGATAGATATTTTTATTCAATGAACAAAATTTTTTGAAAAAAAAAAAACTTCCGAGTCCATTTAAATACATGTAACGACGAGTATCAAATACTACTTCAAGCATAGAACATTTATGAACCAACCAAAATAAGTAAAAAAAAGAAATGGGGATAGGCAAGATGGTAAGATGAACCCTAGATAAATATTTCAGGGGGTTGTGATCTAAAAAGATAATCTCAATCTTATAAGTAATTTCAATCCAGAAAAAGCATATATCATATTTGACTCAGCCTGAGTCCAATAAAACAATGTAAATCTATGACCATACAAAAATTCTCTCACAATAGAAAGCCGTGTATTGTATCACCCAACACTGCCACAACAATGCCACCAGTGCCCAACTTCCGACTTTCGATCGTTAACGTGTTATCAAAAATTAATACATAATTTCCATATTTTTTTATAATTAAAATTTGTTCCAACGCAAAAAAAAAAAAAATGCTTAAACCAAAAGCAATTTCTCAAGTTCTTAAACAAGCTACTACTGGTGGTGTAAAGGCAACTCTGTACGATATTATATTATTGTTTACTATTTAAAGTATTTCCTCCATTAATTTGTTTTTTGTTTTGCTTTGCAGCCTTTTGAATTCTGAAGGTTCTCCCTTAGCTTTCGTTTCTGACTCGGATTATGATGCTAGGGTTTATGCTGCGATAGCTTCAAACATATGGAGTACTTTTGATAAAAATGGAAAGAATTTAATGCGTGAGGATAATCTAAAATTCATGTTGGTTGAATGCGAGGTAAAACCATTTTCATTTCAATACCCCAATTTAATCAATTTTTATTAATTTCCACTTTTTAAATACCTTTAGAAAGGAAATGTTGCAATAACTATGGTTAGCAACATGTTACTGTGTCTTGTTGCTACGCCTGATGTTGAATTGGGAATTTTAAAAGCAAAGGTTTTTACAACGATGTCAACATTTCTTTGCATGATTTATTATATCAATTCATTTATTAATCCAAATTAATATGAACAAAAAGACGGATGCACTAGCGAAACATCTTGAAGAACCTTTTCAACGTGTGACAGCTTATACACAAGCATAGATCTTTCAAAAAGAGGTAGGTTTGCGAATTAGGATCAAAAGATTACATATATACAACATCGTATTTTGACCATCAACTTTATGCACTCTCAAATGTAACGGCAGCCTCTGTTCTCACGAAGAAAGGTCCTTCTCGAAGATATCGCGTTAGACGATCAAAAATGTTTGATGGAATAATATTTTCGGCGTTAGGGGCTTGGATCAAAGTTTGAATAATTGTAAACTTCCATTCCTTGCCCAATTTAGTTGTTTCGGTGGATCGATTTAATATGTAATCAATAAATTCTCGGGAATTTGTCATCTCGGTTTGACCCCAAGGATGCAGAGCCATATTTCGCATGATAGCAAAGCTAGTGATTCTAAGTTCTTCTAGAGTTTGTTTAACGTTAGAAAGTAGAGTGGAAAGTGGCGTAGGATCTCCTATATTATAAATAATAGTGAAAACAATTATGATTATTTTTATTTTTAAGATTCACCCGTTAATAAAATTTAGTCTAGAAACAATCATACCTCCAATCTGATTATAAATTTGATGAGTAATATCAGAAATTTCTGGTGTTGATTCCTCACTAGAGAAAAACAATTCGGATGAATACAGTATGCATTAAATCAAGACTACTTGAGAAATCAGAAATGAACGTACCTAACACCAAGCAAACACGAAATGGATTGTAAACAAGCTATTTTAACATCCCCCGCAGAGCTGTGATAAAGGTCCAAAAATTTGCAAAGTATCTTAGGAGATACACTGGAATTTAATAGTTTAAGGCCACGAGGATTACTTCCAATTACTCCAATAATATTAATTGTGTTTATCTTCAAACTCATATTGGAACTAGATAGATATGAATCCATTTTTAATAATATATTGTATTTATTATCTATCTCTTCGAAGTTTATCTCCTACATAATGAATAAATGCAAATTTAATAATGTATTACTTGATCAATCATTCAATGAAATAATGAACATGCCTCTATTTCTGATAATTTTCCAAAAAATTTGAGCGCAGCACATTTCACTAACACTAATACGATATCATTGTCATCTTCTTGCGCCATGATTTCAACAAGAGATTGTATAGTTCCAGCTCTTTCAAGAAATGTGTATCCAGTACGGCTTTGAACTATCTTAAAGTTATATAATTATATCATTAATTTAAATTTTGAACTTTCGAAAAATGTAGAAAATTTTAAGTATCAACCTTTGAAAAAGTTTCTATTGCGTTTAATTTAAGTAATAAGTCATTCGAATTTAATTCGGAAGTTATCGCATTTAGAGCACCAGATGTCTCGCATAATTGAAATGCTTCCGGAGAAGATATCGATATTCGAGACACCAGATCGAATACGCGAAATTTTACCGTCTCGTCTCTGAATTAAAAATTGAGAAGAAATCAATTATTGTAAATATAATAATATCCCGGTTACGATGCTTTAAAGTCTCTTTTACCCATGAGAGAGCTGATCTAGGATTGCAATTGACCCTGAATCAAAAAGAGCTTGTAACCCGCTAGCGTAATTAACAAGCTAAAATATAATCCAATTAATCCTTTTTTTTTTCCTTTATATTTATATTTATTTTTTACTTTTTTTTTTAAAAAAAAAGAAAAATTCATGTACCTTGACAAGGAATTCTGTCACCTTCATTGATATTAAATTGTCATCATAACCTAATCCTTCCAACACAACCGGAAGCATTTGCGATCTAACCTATGAATAAAATTCAAATATGGTTATTATTTGCCTTAATAGATTTGAAATATAATGAGTTAATTTGGTTTAATACCAGGTCTATAACTGTTTCTTCAGATTCCAAACATTTTTCAACCTGACTTAATGCCAACATTCGAACTTCTGAAGAATTAAATTGAAGGCCTAACGTCAAATATTCCTAAATAAATATAAAATCAATATGTAATATTTTAACTGAAATAAACTTTTTAAAGAAGAAAAAAAAAAAAAAAAACCTTTAGTCCTAAAGATTCTATATCTGCATAGTTCATTGTTCGTAAAAGTTTTTCAAGAACTTTACAGGCTGCGGAAGTCACAGCATCGTCGTAGCTCCCTAAAAGAGTAAAGAATGCCGAGAGAGGCATACTATCAAGGATCGCTTGCCTTCTTTGTTCTCCATTCGGTCCTAATTTTTGTAAATAAAGTAAATATTTGATTGAAGGCGGTAAAAAAAAAAAAAAAATTTTCGACGTTGAAATAACTTGGCTACCTTCTAGAGAGACATTCATAATTCCCAAAGCAGTTGCAAGTTCTGCGATATCAACGTTACCAGGAAAATTTAGAAAATTTCGTACCGTATCAATTTCTGAAGTTGTTGACACCATGGTTTCTTCAGGTTGTATTTGAGATTTTTCCCATCTATTAAAATAAGATAAAAAATCATAAATGATCGACGAAATGATCTAATTTTTTATTAGATATGATGACTTATAAATTTGTTACCAATTTCGCTTTTCTGTTCGGGAGATATTAATTTTACAAATCGCTCATAATACATTTCTTTGCAAATCAAAATATTAGTTTCTATAAACGATGTGTATTAAAAATTTTACTGCTTTTAATATTTTTTAAAAAAAAAAATCTGTAGGATAGAAGAGAATTCCAATTCGAAATCTGTTATATCAACCATTAATGATTATATTTGTCAAAATTTTGATTTTTATACAATGATATTAAGCAACGATTTTAGTACTTAAATTCCCAAAGATAATTAAATTGTTTTATGTATCCAAGTAACGTACTCTTAAATTTGAGTTATCTGTATCAAGCATTTTGATTTTGGAAAAGAAGAAATGTTCAGTGTAATGCCTAATATTAAACATAACCGAATCTCGATTAATAACGTTGACAGTTAGGGATGGGGACGACTCTATCGGTTCCGTTCCGGTTCTGCGAGTCGAAGCGAGTCGAACCGATCGAACGGCTCTGGATAACCGGTTCTGAGTGGCACCTCGGAACCGAACCGACCGAGTCGACTCTGATAAATTTAAACTAATTTAAATAAATAAAATTTAAAATTTAAAATTATATAAATAGATCAAAGATCATAATTCAAATTATTGTTCAGGCGCAATTTTAATTATAGAATTGAATAAAGCATATTTGGTTCGGGCTATTAATTATATCGCATGAACGGAAATTGTCATGTTCTACAAAAAATAATGTATATTAGAAATGCTTGTGTTAATATAAAAATTTTTTATATTTAATATAATTG